AGATCTAAATCTAGTAATAATTATCAAAAATGTCATCGATGCAAAGGTCCCCATGCATCTCATCGGTGCAAGTTCAAGTCTGCAACTTGTTATAAGTGCAGTAAGCAAGGTCACATTGCCAAGGCCTGCTTTGCAAAGTCTTCGTCTGTTGCTAAATCTAGCCAGTCAAGACAGTACCGCAACCAAAGGCAGCACTATGTTAACTCTCACCAAGACTACCTAACCCAACCAATGAACCACTCTACCTGTGAAAATGCTCAAACTGATTCGCAGCCGGATTTCAACCTGTTCTCTGTGAAATCAATAAGTCATGCTCCCATCAATGTACCAGTTTATATCAACGGTAAGAGCATCAGCTTCCAACTTGACACTGGAGCATCACTAACAGTCATCACAAAGAAAGATTTTGACGCTGTCACAGGAGGATCAGTGTCTCTACAGCCGTGTCACAAGTGTCTAACAACATACACTGGTGACAATGTTCCGGTAATAGGAGAGTGTATGGTTCATGTAAATTATAATGGTCAAAGTGTTAAACTTCCTCTTCTTGTGGTTGAAGGAAATGGACCGCCATTACTAGGTAGGAACTGGTTAAGTGATCTTAAGTTAAATTGGGAGAGTATTTGTTCATTGAAGAATGTAAAAGAATCTAGTCTTACTTCACTAGATAAAGTTATATCTGAAAATAAAAGTGTTTTTAGTAATCCAGGATTACTAAATGATAGAACAGTGAAGTTAAGCATTAAAGACACAAATCCAAGATACTGCAAAGCTAGAGTTCCACCTTATGCAATGAGGAATAAAATTGAAAATGAGCTAAGTAGATTGGAATCTAATGGCATCATAAAGAAGGTAGACTATTCCGATTGGGCAATGCCCATTGTGCCAGTGTTAAAGAAGGATGGTTCTGTAAGAATTTGTGGAGATTATAAAACTACACTGAATAAGCAAATAGAGCTAAATAGGTACCCTATACCTAACATTGAGGAAATCTCTTTGAATTTGGCAGGAGGAGACAAATTCACTGAATTAGACTTTAGTCATGCTTACACTCAACTAGAACTGCATCCAGATTCAAAAGTCTATACGACAATAAACACACATAAAGGACTCTACCAATATGAAAGACTATGTTTTGGCATATCATCTAGCCCTGGAATTTTCCAAGCTGTCATGGACAGTATTTTTAAGGATATTCCAAATGTTTGTGTGTACTTTGACAATGAGTACATAACTGGTAAGAATGATACTGAACATCTTAAAACACTTGATAAAGTATTGAAAATTGTTGGTGAAAAAGGTTTAAAGATAAACAAAGATAAATGTCAATTCATGCTGACAGAAATTAGTTTTCTTGGTTATATATTAAGCAAGCAAGGCATCAGACCTCAACCTGAGAAAACAAAAGCCATTAAAGAAGCACCCAAACCTGAAAATACCCAACAACTAAGAGCTTTTTTGGGCTTGATAAATTACTATGCAAAGTTCATAGGGAATCTGTCTGGTAAACTATCACCACTGTACAAGCTGCTACAGAAAAATGCAACTTGGCACTGGGGTAAACAACAAGATACTGCTTTTAATACAGCAAAAGAGGCTTTGTCTGCTGACACCTTACTAACTCACTATGACCCAGGGAAAAGACTTATATTAACATGTGATGCTTCACCAGATGGTGTAGGAGCAGTCTTGTCCCACATGGATGAGAAGGGTGACAGACCCATTGCTTTTGCCAGTAGATCTTTGAACCAGGCTGAGAAAAATTATTCTCAGTTAGATAGGGAAGGCTTAGGCATCATTTTTGGTGTTAAGAAATTTCATAAGTTTCTGTTTGGTAGGAAGTTCACCATCTTTACAGATCATAAACCATTGCTAGGTTTATTTGGAGAAAACAAAACCCTACCTGAGCATGCCTCTCCAAGAATTCAAAGATGGGCTATCACATTAACTGCATACAATTATGAATTGAAATACAAACCTGGATCTGAGAATAGTGCAGATAGTCTTAGTAGATTACCTTAAAAAAACCAAAGCCTTAGCTATGTACCAGAAGATGTATTTGTTCTCTTCACTATCATGGATAACTCCAATATAAATGTGAATGATATTAAAAGAGAAACACAAAAAGATGAGTGCTTAATAAAAGTATATGAGTACTGTAAGAATGGTTGGCCTGAAGAGTCTGTGAATGATGACTTAAGGCCATATTAAATAAGAAATAAAAACCTTTGTGAAGATAATATAAAAGATGGAGAAGATACAGTCCATTATCAGTCAGAGTTGCCTAAACAAAGTATTTGTAACTTAATAAATGATTATGGTGATATGGCAATTTCAAATGTTTTAAAGAGAATACATTAGTAAGAAGGAATGTGATCATCAAACAACTTTGCTAACACCATTAGCACTTACAGAAACTAAAAGGGTAACATCAAAAGAAAAGAAAAAAGATTTTTGCCATTTAATACACCCACTTCAAATACTGGATCACAGTTGCAAAGTGATATGGTCCAGGATATTACTTTTAAACAGTATTTTTGGTTACAAAAAAAGGCACTATCAGATTACCTGAGAAAATTGATCAATCAAAGAAATCTATGTCAGTCAAGGATCTGAATAACAGCATAATACTTTCAGATGCCAATTCAAAAATAGTTCCATTAAATCATGACAAACATTCATTGAAAGAGAATTTGGTGTTAATGAGAATGTGTATCTAAGAAATTATGGGAGAAAGGAAAAATGGATACCAGGTCAAATTGTTCAATGTACAGGACCTGTGTCTTATAAAGTTAAAAATAACTTGTGCGGATAATAAGTGTGAATCTGTCAATCCCACCAAATCTGAACAGTTCACACCAACTCAGTTTGTTCCACAACCAAGTTCTGTTGATATGAGTGAACCAAGTTGTCTGGAGTCAGAAAATGTAAATTCTGGAGTTAATGATTTAAATCCTAGACCTCCTGAGATAGAGAATCCAGATGGTCAGAATCTTGAGTCACCAAATCAAAAGCCTTTGAGAAGGTCAAGCAGGACAATCAAAGTCCCAAATAAGTTAGACCTATGATTCTAAAGGTCAAAAGGACTTTGACATTATTGTTTTGTATTTTGATTATGTTGTAGCATATTGTGCATTGTTTGTAAGGATGTAATCTACCATAGTGTTCATGTTACAATATAATTGGTGATTTTAGGATACTATCAATTGTTCTATTGAGAGATGTGTTATTGTGTTCTAAGGGTAAAGGGATGTAATAGATTGAGTTAATTGTGAGGTCAAGGGAACTCACTCTCTGTATTAGTATTATATTTATATTGTTATCTTGAGTGATGTCCCTTACATGTTGTTATCTATAAATAGTTCTCTCTCGCCATTTCCTCTCTCTTTGCATCATGGCGTCTGTACATAATAAAGGCTGTTAACAACCAACGCGGCTTCTCGTCAGTCATTACAATCCACCTCATTAACCACGTTAGAAAAATTCATATAAGTAATTCTTAAGTCTCAAGCATATCTAACATACGTAATATAATAATTTAAAATGAGCATTGCTAAATTTAAAATAGTAAAAAGACACAGATAATACCATGTCACTTTCCTAATATTTATGCTGGCTTATGGAATTTTAAGTTAACAATTATAATTTACAGCATGTACAGCATGTCTTACATGAAAATAAAATGCATTTAAAATTTAATATTTAAGGTTTCTTGTCAATCCTCAACCTGACAAATTTTCTAACGACATACCATCCATGATCCAAGAATAATATATCTAAAATAGATAGACCAATTGTTAACTTACTACAAATACAATGCAGCAACTTCTTAAAGCTTGTTGAACCCCACTACATCACACTTGTGTACATTTTTGCAATTGATTGATTGAAAAACGTGATTATGTGATAGCTTAGCTATCCTACTCACACAGCCCTAAGTCTCTGGTCACCATGTAATTGTACTGGATTGTTTGAAGGTTGTAGGAAAAAAAGTCACAGGAAAAAAAAAACAGGAAAAAAACACAGAAAAAAGTCACAGGAAAAAAGTCACAGGAAAAAAAAACAGAAAAAAGTCACAGGAAAAAAGTCAAAAATGTATATTTGCATGGAATTTGTTGATACTGATATGAATTATGCAAATCAACTTACAATTGATTAAATGTAATGTAAACATGTTAGAAATATATGCGTGGGTTGTATACATATTTATAACACAAATAAAAGATTTTTAGTATAAAGTTTGTAGGATTTAATGGTAATTCTGTTTTACATATAATATTTAATAGAATTTAATATAATGTTCGAACCTTCTAGGTTTCAAAAGTGTTAGTTAAATACTAACTTTAAATCAGCGTGATATTGCATAAAGACGTAGTTAATGTGACTAGCTGCCCTTAACTCAATGCAACAATAGATCAACCACCTTTACTGCCCACATTCATCACGCTCTTTACATAACAAAGCCTAGGATCAAAAGAGAAATCCGACAAGGTACAAAGGCTGTAATTGACGGAAAATATAAACAAAACACAATATGGATGGACAAAGCCGGCTGAGGAGATGCCGACCAAGATTAGGCCTACGGAAAAAACATATGCAAACACAAAGATGAGCCTAAACTTATTTTATAATACTTTTCAAAAGTGTATTTAAATATGTAACAAAAGCTGAGGTTGTTATGTTCATTCTCTTACTATATTTTAACATATTATTGTTATAAACCATAATGCTTTTAAAATTTATAAATATGCTACCGAAGAAATTACCACGCACATTAATAAACACCCAAATTTTACAATTATCAACAATTAAATCAAAATATTTCTTAGAATAATATTGTGACGTTTTTTTTCTGTGCCTTTTGTTCTGGTAAAATTTTTCCATTGTGACTTTTTTTTGTGACTTTTTTCCGTTCACCGTTTTGAAAACTCAATTGATTTAGATCTAGATCTCTATCTATCTTGTGACAAAAATGGCTTTGTTTTCCAAAGCCATTTGTTCGAAAAGAGTAGATATCTATATCTTATATGAAAAACATTTTGTCTGTTCCTCTCCTTGCTTGTCTTTGACAGGATTAAAAATTAATTAAAAATATTTATCCGTTCCGTTTCTGGCTTGTCTTTAGATTTAATTTCCATCTAGGATCTAGAGACACTTTAGCTAGGGCAATCTAAAATCTAGATTCTAAAACGATCTCAATCGTTTTAGTTTAGAGTTTAGCATAGACAATCGGCCTGCACTAGAATCTAGATCTGCTATTACATCTAGATTCTATTAAATCTAGATTAGTATTTACTCTACTACTATATTTTTTACTTTCTCGTACATACGAAGTATAGAGAAAGTCTTGTAATCGTGCAAAAAAAATCTCGACGTTTTACACCTCACTGATACGGAAAAACATAATTTTGCAATCTTGTCCATGCCGTATGTCTGTGTGTCTGTCTGTCTGTGTGTAAACACGATAACTTGAGTACCGTTACAGCTAGGTTGATGAAATTTCATACATAAGTATTTTATCAAAATCGTAGATCCTGATCAACTTTTGAGCGATTTCCGATAACCGGAAGTGGTACTTTTTCTACTTTGAATTTTTCAAAAGCCTATAACTTGAGTAAATGAAATTTCACATGTAAGTAAAAGATCTAATTCTCTACCATCTGTCAAATTTTGAGTAATTTCCGTTAAACGGAAGTACTAATTTACGCTATTTCCGATTTCTCAAAAAACGCATGTAAATTTATAAAATACTATGAGATTCTATTCTATTTTTAAAAGTTAAAGTAATTAAAAATCATGTCTATATTCCAAGTTATAAAAGAATATTCAAGAAAGTTTAGGGGAGATCACTCCCGGTTTATTTAAGTATATTTTTGAATATTTTACAAATGTAACAGGTAGGTTAATCAATTTATTAGGTTATCTACTGTTTTAGGTGTGTAAAATCGGCAGAGGCTAGTAATGTGTGAAAAAGTTGCCTCATTGTTAAGGCTTTAATAAATTAATTTTCAAAAAATTTCAAAACGGTGAACGGAAAAAAGTATTATGTGGTATATTTATGTAAAAATATTATAGATGAATTATTATTAATAAATCAAAATCAATGGCTAAATATACCAATATAGAATATAGGGTAAAATCTTAGTTTAGCGTCGTAAATTCGGCCAAAACTAGTAATGTAGGAGAGAGTGCAATAATGAATATGTCATTAAATATGAGTATATTTTCGTATATTTTGATAAAATATTATAAATAATTGAATAATAGATCACCATTTATGGTTAAATCAATTTAAATATCCTGAAATTAATTTTTATCAACCCTGTTCGAGATAGTAAATTTGCTATTAAAAACAGCAGCCATCTTAAGAAAATGTTATTTAGAGTAGCTTCCCTTTCATTTCTATTCGTATGAAAATGTATTTAAATATGATTGTCTTGTTGTATAGTCCGTATAACAAAGCATTTTTTTTTTTAAATTCTGCTCTTTAAAAACTGAATCTCCTAACAAATAATTTTATTAATTCTAGAAGCATTGTGAGATGCAACTTGTATCCATGTTTTAAATCACGTTTTTTTTTACTAATGTTTATTTGATCTTACTATTACTATATAGTTTGAGTTTTTTCTTATTGTTTGAATGTTCACTATTTTCATTTCAGGTTTTTCTTTTCATCAATTAGTGATTCTATCGTAACTTATGACATTCTTTTTACTTCTCTTTACCTTAATTAAACCCCAACCTCCGTCATATTTTTGTTGTCAATGTCACAACAAGTCATAAGGGGTCATCCATAAATGACGTCACACTCGTAGGGGGAGGGGGGGGGGGGTCCGTAATTTTGTGACTGTGTGATGAGGGGGAGGGGGGGTGGTTCAGATGTTGCGACGTCACATTTTTGCATTATAAAAAAGCAATGTTAGAAAACGAATTTTAGACGTTATTTCGCGTTTTAGATAACTGTTTATAAATTGTAATAGTTTAGACAAGATTTTGGAAAAATATCGATGTTTTGAAAAAATTCAACTGCACATTTGAGGGGCGGGGGGGGGGGGGGGTTGTAGGTTGAGGTGTGACGTCATTTTAGGGGGGGGGGGAGCTGGCTTTTTGTGACGACGTGTGACGGAGAAATGGGGGAGGAGGGAAAAATCGTCAAAAAAATCGTGACGTCATTTATGGATGACCCCAATGTAAAAAATTACGCTTCGCTCTGCCTTATCTAAGATCTCTAGCCTTAATTTTGACAACAATAAATGTTTGTCATCATTTATATATACAGAGAGACAAAATGTATTATCCACCAGCTTCCCTCGTAAAACATCACCTAAAATAATCAGCCACTCCACCCCTTAAGTGCGTGTTGTCATTATGGTCGATCGCAAGTCTCCACCCGCCAGACACATTTTGGTTATCCTTTGTTGTCAAAATGTCAATATCAAGTACCCAAGTGAGTGGTATGGGGTTGTCCATAAATGATATCACATATGATTTGCTACGGGAGTGAGTGAAGATTTGTGACGTCAACTCAGGCGGCTCCGCAATTTATGATGTGTCGGTCTCACGAAAGGAGGTGAACGGGGAAAAATACCTAGGTGGTTGATGGAGAACCTCTATAATGCTTTGTTCAATCAAAATAACGATAAATAAGCATTAGTATACGTATACCTTGCTTAAAACGAATCATCACAAATGTTGCAAGCCTGCTGTTTTGGCAAAACATTTGGCAAAACGGCCTTAACTTAACACATTATCCCCGTCAAAAAGGCTTGCCACCAAATGCCTGCCGACGAATAAGCCGCGTCTAATGCGGGGCGTTAGGAATACGGCCATTAGCATGGGCCGCGTTAGAGCACCAGTAGGCTATCGCGCTTTGTAAGATGACGTAAATACTTAAATTCAATTTCGCTAAACTGCGCGAAAATTTAGTAATGTTCCATCGTTTGAGGAAATTTATTTTCTTGGACTTAAATTGAAATATCATGTTGACTGTCTGGCTCTTAATTTCCGAATATCACTTTTAATGTATCAAGATTCAGAACTATAATTTACTTTAATATAAGTGTCATCTTATCGTTTATTGTGCTTTTTATAAAGCGCAGAGCAGCTTCAAAATCGGACGGCCATCCTGTTTTCACCAAGCTTCTTTTGGAGCTTAATATGGGTAGTCTAGTTCTATACGGTGAGAGCTTAATAGGCAGCAAGCTTGCAGGAATAACTACGTACGTTTAAATGGACGAGTGATAGGTGTGTTAGGGGCTGTTTAATGAACACCAACTTATGTAATCAAATTAAACGTCGCATAATCGTCAAAGAGGCAGTGCTTGTTGTTTTTTTTTAAATATAAAATTAGCCTAACGGTCGGCGGTACCGGTACATGACGTCACGTGCGAGCGCTAACTCGGTGACGATGTACTAAGTGGGGGAATGAAAAAGGTGGGGTTCAAGAAATGCGACTCAGCAAGCTTTTTACATTTCTTGACCCTTCTTAATAGTTCTATCGTCCCCACTGAGAAAATGGATCACCAATGAATGACGCGTCATACTTCTACAGCTGGTCTTTCTCCCACAATCATCCCCTGTTTTCACGAGAGAAAAAACCTGACCCGTCTCCAAAATCACATCGCTGAGTTCTACTCAACCTCTCCCCACCACAAATCACAATTTCTATCTGAAACAATATGTTCATATTTTGTTCTGTAATCATGCACGCTGTCATTACTATCTTAAGAGCGACGTCATTTATGAGCGATCTAATATTGATTTGATTACTGCAAATAAAGTGTTCAAAAGTTCGACCTCCCAACAATTGTTGTGGTCTTGGATGCACACTATTAAGTCTGAAAAGGTCTATTAGTCATTCATGTCAACTATATTGAAAAAAATAAAAGTAAAATTACTATACAGGGGGTCATCCATAAATTACGTCACGCTTTTTTGACGATTTTTACCTCCCCCCCCCCTCCCCTCCGTCACACGTCGTCACCAAAAGCCAGACCCCCCCCCCCCTAAAATGACGTCACACCTCAGCCTACAACCTCCCTCAAAATTGCAGTTGAATTTTTTTAAAAACAGCTATATTTTTCCAAAATCTTGTCTGAACTCTGTCAAAATAGAGTATTTTAATCAATTGTTACTACAATGTATTAAAACAGTTTTCTAAAACGCAAAATAAGGTCTAAAATTCGTTTTCTAACATTGCTTTTTTATAATGCAAAAGTGTGACGTCGCACCATCTGAACCCCTCCCCCTCACCACACACCGTCACAAAATTACGGACCCCACTCCCCCTACGAGTGTGACGTCATTTATGGACGACCCCCAGGCATATATTAAAACAATACAAAACAAGCATATTAAACCACAAAATCAACACAAAAGACATGCGAATAGACAATTTTTCAAGGGAAACTAGTCTATTATTGTTTTTGAAACATGGCCGCTGCTTGTGTTTACTCATTGTTGTCTCGAACGGGGTAGTTTGAAGTTTATTCCAGGATATTTATGACTGGTTTGGTCTTAGATTGTGATTTGTTATTCAATTATCTGTTATATTATGTAAAATATGACATAAATATGGCCAAATGAAAGAAATATTCATTAGTTACCTTCATCGCACATTACTAGCTACGTTGGAATTTACGACGCTAAACTAAGATTTTACCGAATATAGACTCTAGAGATCTAGGCCAGAAATTATAATCAGGCGTGTTTGCTAGCAAGATTTGCTTCCCCTGAATCTTCCACTATAGTCTAATTTTACAACAAATAAAATCTTAAACAAGATGGCTGCTACTAAAGTAAATGAGCATGGTTGCATCTGATACAAAAATTAAAATTGCTAGTCTTCATTTATCACTGAAAAGTTTTTATGCAATTGTTTAAAAACGGGTAGATCTGGAGATTAGTCAGATCTGGCCTAAAAATTAAACTTTTAAACATTTTTGTAAATTTCAAAAAATAAATCCTAAAAAATTAAAAGTTATGGAGTCACCTGTTTTTCACATTACT